GGGTAGACTCTCAGTCTTTTTAGTATTTTTTGTGTTTCTCTCAAGTACCAAACTAAATTATTCCATTGAAACAACACTTTGATTTAATGCGAATTCGGTTTAAAGCGACCTCTCTTGGATCGTACGCCGTGTTATATCGATGTTCTAATGTATATGAATGTTGTAAACACAATAATTAAGAACAGTGAATTTGGCCCCAAGTATCAGCATGATGGTTATCCCTGAGGAAGGAGAATAAAAATAATTAAAATTCGTAAGATTGAAAAGGAGTACAGTAGGGGAAGAAGAGGAGGAAGAAATGAAGTACCGCACTGTAAAACCTCAGAATCACTTATAATTCATAATGTTTTCCTGTTATGATATACTGTATATCTGTATTACAAATTTCATAATAGTTGGCAAGTGTTTTGGGCAGCACATTTTTATATTAACATGTGGACAAAAGAAAAAATATTACGATATAACCTGTATAAACAGCATACATTACAGGACAGTAGTATTTGGTAAAATTTCAGATCATGAGACATTTACTAAAATATCTAACGCACGTCACCATGCGGCCATGAAATGTAGCCGTCCGCCTCACTGTAGACGAGAATATGTATGTCGGTTACAGTCAGTTCACGTCGATTAGTCGTGGCGCGCATATCTATGATCTACCACACAAGCTTTTTCCACTTGCTTTTCCACCATTGCCCAGCAGTGTTTGAGCCATTACATCATATAACCCTGAATGTTTGAGCCATTATATCTGATAACCCAAAATGTTTGAGCCATTACATCAGATAACCCAAAATGTTTGAGCCATTACATCAGATAACCCAAAATGTTTGAGCCATTATATCTGAAAACCCTAAAAGTTTGAGCCATTATATCTGATAACTCTGAATGTTTGAGCCATTACATCAGATAACCCAAAATGTTTGAGCCATTACATCAGATAACCCAAAATGTTTGAGCCATTATATCAGATAACCCTAAATGTTTGAGCCATTATATCAGATAACCCAAAATGTTTGAGCCATTATATCTGATAACCTTAAATGTTTGAGCCATTACATCAGATAACCCAAAATGTTTGAGCCATTATATCAGATAACCCTAAATGTTTGAGCCATTACATCAGATAACCCAAAATGTTTGAGCCATTATATCAGATAACCCTAAATGTTTGAGCCATTACATCAGATAACCCAAAATGTTTGAGCCATTATATCAGATAACCCTAAATGTTTGAGCCATTATATCTGATAACCCTAAATGTTTGAGCCATTATATCAGATAACCCTAAATGTTTGAGTCATTATATCTGATAACCCTAAATGTTTGAGCCATTATATCAGATAACCCTAAATGTTTGAGCCATTACATCTGATAACCTTAAATGTTTGAGTCATTATATCTGATAACCCTAAATGTTTGAGCCATTATATCAGATAACCCTAAATGTGTGAGCCATTACATCTGATAACCCTAAATGTTTGAGTCATTATATCTGATAACCCTAAATGTTTGAGCCATTATATCACATAACCCTAAATGTGTGAGCCATTACATCTGATAACCCTAAATGTTTGAGCCATTATATCAGATAACCCAAAATGTTTGAGTCATTATATCTGATAACCTTAAATGTTTGAGCCATTATATCTGATAACCCCAAGTGTATGAGCCATTATATCTGATAACCCTAAATGTTTGAGCCATTATATCAGATAACCCTAAATGTTTGAGCCATTATATCAGATAACCTTAAATGTTTGAGCCATTATATCACATAACCCTAAATGTTTGAGCCATTATATCTGATAACCCTAAATGTTTGAGCCATTATATCAGATAACCCTAAATGTTTGAGCCATTATATCAGATAACCTTAAATGTTTGAGCCATTATATCAGATAACCCAAAATGTTTGAGCCATTATATCAGATAACCTTAAATGTTTGAGCCATTATATCAGATAACCCTAAATGTTTGAGCCATTATATCAGATAACCCTAAATGTTTGAGCCATTATATCAGATAAACTTAAATGTTTGAGCCATTATATCAGATAACCCTAAATGTTTGAGCCATTATATCAGATAACCTTAAATGTTTGAGCCATTATATCAGATAACCTTGAATGTTTGAGCCATTATATCAGATAACCTTAAATGTTTGAGCCATTATATCTGATAACCCCAAGTGTATGAGCCATTATATCTGATAACCCTAAATGTTTGAGCCATTATATCAGATAACCCTAAATGTTTGAGCCATTATATCAGATAACCTTAAATGTTTGAGCCATTATATCAGATAACCTTAAATGTTTGAGTCATTATATCTGATAACCCTAAATGTTTGAGCCATTATATCTGATAACCCCAAGTGTATGAGCCATTATATCAGATAACCCTAAATGTTTGAGCCATTATATCTGATAACCTTAAATGTTTGAGCCATTATATCTGATAACCTTAAATGTTTGAGCCATTATATCTGATAACCCTAAATGTTTGAGCCATTAAATCTGATAACCCTAAATGTTTGAGCCATTATATCAGATAACCCTAAATGTTTGAGCCATTATATCTGATAACCCTAAATATTTGAGTCATTATATCAGATAACCTTAAATGTTTGAGTCATTATATCTGATAACCCTAAATGTTTGAGTCATTATATCTGATAACCCTAAATGTTTGAGCCATTATATCAGATAACCTTAAATGTTTGAGCCATTATATCTGATAACCCTAAATGTTTGAGTCATTATATCTGATAATCCTAAATGTTTGAGTCATTATATCTGATAACCCTAAATGTTTGAGTCATTATATCTGATAACCCTAAATGTTTCAGCCATTATATCAGGTAACCCTAAAATGTTTCAGCCATTATATCTGATAATCCTAAATGTTTGAGCCATTATATCAGATAACCCTAAATGTTTGAGCCATTATATCAGATAATTCTAAATGTTTGCATCATTATATCAGATAACCTTAAATGTTTGAGCCATTATATCAGATAACCTTAAATGTTTGAGCCATTATATCAGATAATTCTAAATGTTTGCATCATTATATCAGATAACCCTAAATGTTTGCATCATTATATCTGATAACCCTAAATGTTTGAGCCATTATATCAGATAACCCTAAATGTTTGAGCCATTATATCAGATAATTCTAAATGTTTGCATCATTATATCAGATAACCCTAAATGTTTGAGCCATTATATCAGATAACCCTAAATGTTTGAGCCATTATATCAGATAACCTTAAATGTTTGAGCCATTATATCAGATAATTCTAAATGTTTGCATCATTATATCAGATAACCCTAAATGTTTGAGCCATTATATCAGATAACCCTAAATGTTTGAGCCATTATATCAGATAACCCTAAATGTTTGAGCCATTATATCAGATAACCCTAAATGTGTGAGCCATTATATCAGATAACCTTAAATGTTTGAGCCATTATATCAGATAATTCTAAATGTTTGCATTATTATATCAGATAACCCTAAATGTTTGAGCCATTATATCAGATAACCCTAAATGCTTGAGCCATTATATCAGATAACCCTAAAATGTTTCAGCCATTATATCAGATAACCCTAAATGTTTGAGCCATTATATCTGATAACCTTAAATGTTTGAGTCATTATATCTGATAATCCTAAATGTTTGAGCCATTATATCAGATAACCCTAAATGTTTGAGCCATTATATCAGATAATTCTAAATGTTTGCATCATTATATCTGATAACCCTAAATGTTTGAGCCATTATATCAGATAACCCTAAATGTTTGAGCCATTATATCAGATAATTCTAAATGTTTGAGCCATTATATCAGATAACCCTAAATGTTTGCATCATTATATCAGATAACCCTAAATGTTTGAGCCATTATATCAGATAACCTTAAATGTATGAGCCATTATATCAGATAACCCTAAATGTTTGAGCCATTATATCAGATAACCTTAAATGTATGAGCCATTATATCAGATAATTCTAAATGTTTGCATCATTATATCAGATTACCCTAAATGTTTGAGCCATTATATCAGATAACCCTAAATGTTTGAGCCATTATATCAGATAACCCTAAATGTTTGAGCCATTATATCAGATAACCCTAAATGTTTGAGCCATTATATCAGATAACCTTAAATGTATGAGCCATTATATCAGATAACCCTAAATGTTTGCATCATTATATCAGATAACCCTAAATGTTTGAGCCATTATATCAGATAACCCTAAATGTTTGAGCCATTATATCAGATAACCCTAAATGTTTGAGCCATTATATCAGATAACCTTAAATGTTTGCATCATTATATCAGATAACCCTAAATGTTTGCATCATTATATCAGATAACCCTAAATGTTTGAGCCATTATATCAGATAACCTTAAATGTATGAGCCATTATATCAGATAACCCTAAATGTTTGCATCATTATATCAGATAACCCTAAATGTTTGAGCCATTATATCTGATAACCCTAAATGTTTGAGCCATTATATCAGATAACCCTAAATGTTTGCATCATTATATCAGATAACCCTAAATGTTTGAGCCATTATATCTGATAACCCTAAATGTTTGAGCTATTTTCTATGATAACTCAAAATCTGGAACTGTAATTAGCAATGTTTAAATTTTGAATGAGGGAGATAACAGAAAAGTACCGTTGTTTTGTGTTTTTCCTTTTGGAGGTGTCCCCCACATTTCGTAAAATCTCATAATTCGTAAGGGCTAGAGCCACTATTATTTTGAATTATGGGGTTTTACTGTAGCAGGAAAAGTGTTAAAAGACAGACATTTGACTTTTGATTGTTTTAATAGTAAAAAGACTGTAGAAAATCGCCATAAAATGTTGAAGATGATGATGATGATGATATCAACACCCATGTCAATGATGATGATATCAACACCCATGTAATTCTACAACTCTTAACAAATAATACAACAACACAGGAATGACTTACGTATGAGGGATTGTAAATATATGGAGAATCTTGCACTTGCATTATCCGGAATAGTGAAGTTCCCAGAAGAAATTGCCAATGGACTCTCCGCAAATGGTAAAGTAAAGAAACAGAGCTTGTAGAGCATACACCCCAAGGCCTGAGAGTGGGTGAAACAAGAAAACCTACATTACACAAAATGAAGGAACAATGCCTTAAATTCCATTTATAGCTAATGGGACAAAACACTTGACCTATGAGATACCACCACTAAGCAACCCCATGCAGAGTCTGCCACTGCTTATGAAGTGTGTAATGCTTACTGGCAATAATACATTATCCACATGGACTATCTTTATGCTGCAAGTTACCTTCCTAACATGACAATCCAAATTCCATATCTGGATTGCTGGTTATCTCAAGGCCATTGAGGCTCTAGACCAAGAGTTGAAAACTCAAGAGTTTTTGTTTCAATATCCTCCAACCACATCGATTCCTACCTAAACCCTGCCAGTTCTCTGCTAAAAGAGAACCAAACTCTAGGTTGGAGGATGAGAATCCAGGTTATTCATTTCATGACCTCCCTCATAGAGTCAGACTTTATACTTCAGTTCCTCAGTCACAATCTATGGGTCCTCAAATGTTAATGTTAACTGCAAGATTCTATAACCTTTTAGGAATGGGTGATGTGGTTATGTGCCAAGAAAATATCCTGAATGTGTCCTAAATTAAGAAGCACAACCCTAAAAAATAGGTGTAGAGTATTTGTACAAACCTTTAGGACTAACTTCAACCATAGTCTAGGCCAAGGATGCTGGATTCAGCCAACAAATTTTTATACACAGTACATAAATCGTCGTATCTGAGATTCCGTTTTTGTTTATACTGTTTATGTTCAACTTTTAACATTGATTGTTTGAGACTGGCAACTTCTCAGATCAGATCGACAATTCATGAATTTCTGAAACAGATAGCATCAATTGGCTCACTACTCAGACACTACATTTCAGGTATATATTTGCTTGAATACCAGAAGTTAGATATGTTCTTTACGTTGGATATAAAAAGGTACTCTGCTTTTAGTTCACAGTTTGTTTTGTACATGCCTAAATTCCAAGAATAAACACATACATTTGAATATAGTCTATTTTATTCACTTCACATCATTCAAACAGTTGTGTGACCTCCGAGTACTGCTAGACTTTAAGTTTGGCCCTCTTGCATAAAAAGATTGATACAACTTGAAATTAAAATCTGGAAAGAGGGACATATACAGTATACTTCTCCAATATAGATTATATAGATTATATTTAAGTTAGAAATATATCTGTCAAAAAACTGGTAGGATGATTTAATTTCGTGGTGGGAAAAGGTAACACACAAGATTGGTGCAAAGTATTTAGTTGGACAGGATGGTTCAAGCACTTAACACACCACACTTGTAACTCGCTCTTTCAAATGGCAAAGTCTTCGATCCTTGACATAAAATTTTCTTTTCACAGAGATCCTTCAAAGTCCCTTGTTCCAATGCCTTGTCAAACTAACATTAATCAAAAAATCTCTCTACTTTGACTGCCCGCTAACCCCCCCCCCCCCATCTCTTCCAATTTCTATTCAAATTTCACTCTCCTTGGGCAGTAAATAGTCAAATGGCAAGACTGGGAAGGCAATCATTTAAGATCTGGTACTGCCAATCAAAACCTAACTAGTTTCAAGGTTGGTTAAGAGAAAGCCATTCAGATGTATTTGAGCTTCCAGGGAACTTGATATCAAAGACCTTTAAACATTGATCCATGATTTTCAAAAGCCAATCAAGTCTAAATGTTTGTATAAAGTACAAGTAGTGCAAGCCTGAAAAACAGTAATATCTCCGTTAGCCAGAATCCCTAAAACCCGGAACTCATCGATAGCCAGAATTGAAATTTTCTCGGAAAATCGTTGTCTAAGCCGTAATTTTTCAGAAAATTACGGCTTTAGAAACAAATTCAGAGGTTGAAAATCAAGAGTATTTTCTGAAAATGTCTTGAATAAAGACAAAACCTAAAGTATTTTTGGAGTAAACCTGACCAGACCTGACTTAATGTCAGGTGGAGGTAGGGTGGAGTAATAGTGGTCTCATATTACTGACCTTCTGAAGGAATGTCAGGTCACCCTTTCATGGGTGGGGGATTAGTGGGTATTTTTAGGGAAATTGTAAATGAACAAAGTTGTATCCCTTCACCATTACAGAAAAGGCTCCAATAATGACGGTTCTACTAACGACGATTCATATTTAAGATCCTGGTTAATTTAGGCCCTAATTCAAATTACACCATTATTTTATTTGGATTTACGACAAAAATAAAATAAAAATTAAATAAAATTTCATTTTCATACAAATAATAACTACAAAAAAAAAAAAAGCCTTGCACATGGAGACTGCCAGGCTTGAGTGGTGATGCCAACATCACTAGTATAAACAGTCGCAGCTGGTGGGCCTTTTGTTTTCACACATGTGAACAGGAAAAGGAGAAAAACATTCTCAGATTTCTTACTGCATTTTTGCGTCCCTATTCAACACGAGCAAGAAAGCAAGTGATGGTAGTGCTGGTTCAAAAGCTAAAAGAAAGTGTATAACTTAGCCGAGAAACTAAATGTGTTAAAACGATATGAAAAGGGTGAGAGGTCTGTGGATATTATATGGAGCAAACAATGAACATAAAATTATTTTCTGAAGTGGATCCATTAACAGAACAAAGCATTAAAATTAACAAGGACGTGAAAAACACATATGACCTCTAATGAAGATGTATAATGAGAAAATAAAGCGGCTGTGAAAGGTTCTTTCGACAGCTTTATTATTCAAAGGCCTAAACCATCAACTTCAGCTACATCATCAAATTCAGCATCATAAGCAGCTTCAGCAACAACTTCAAGTTCAGTAACAGTTTCAGCAACAGCTATGATATCTTTATGCAAAGCTTCAGCTTCAGCCAGATTTGAACCTGATGACTTCATCATCTGAATAAAAACACACATCATCATTGGCTGTCCTTATATTTTAGACTTTACCATCATTGGTGAGTAGAATTTTTGTTTTACATTAGTAAGTATTATTTAAAACATATATGAACAGTAATAAGTGGTGCTTTCATATTCTTATGGAGAGGAATGACGATATGTTTTCACATGTACAGTTGTACCCCACTTAACGCGGTCAATTGAACCCAGAGGGTCCCGCGTTAAGTGAACAACAGAACATATGGGATTAATTCCAATAGAAACCGGCCCGACCCCCAAACTCCACTTTTTGAAGGCACATACCTATGTTGTAGTAAAAATAACATCTTAATTTTATGATGGTACATGCACACAATTAATACTTAAGAGAAATAGAGAAATACAGTCGCCAAGTTAAAGTCCATTCAAATAATGGACTCAACTCCCTCCCCCTCTTCTCACACTACACTCACTGGCTCTTCCCTCTCAGAGAAATTTTTGGGGGAAAACCACTAAATTTTAATAAATAATACCTCAAACTAAAGTTAGGATAATACAATTGACATTGCTGGATTCCTTGTAAGACCAGGAATATTTTGAATATAAATGTCATATATTTTGCACAAAAGATAACATAGTTACCTAGAGAAAAAATTTTATCTAAAATTTGTATGTTTAATGCAAAATATATGATGTTTATATTCAAAATGATCACCAAATTATAAGAATTCCAGCAATGTAAATTATATTCTGACCGGGTAATTTGTATGAATTTTATGAGCTAAAACAAATATCTTCAGTTAATAAAAAAAAAATAATCTTCACGACACTATCTGTCAATCAAAGTACCCCACCTTGCCTCCCCCCCTCTTCCAACCGCGCGGTCAGTCCCAACCCTCCCCCCCCCCCCCACCAATCCTCCCTTCCAGAGTTTTTAACATTTAGTATTAAATAATACCTCAGATTAAAGTTAGGATAATATAATTGACATTGCTGGATTCCTTGTAAGACCAGGAATATTTTGAATATAAATGTCATATATTTTGCACAAAAGATAACATAGTTACCTAGAGAAAAAATTTTATCTAAAAATTGTATGTTTAATGCAAAATATATGATGTTTATATTCAAAATGATCACCAAATTATAAGAATTCCAGCAATGTAAATTATATTCTGACCGGGTAATTTGTATGAATTTTATGAGCTAAAACAAATATCTTCAGTTAATAAAAAAAAAAATAATTCTTCACAGGGTAACAGATGGTCGGTCGGTCCCTCCCTCCCCCCCACCCCCCACCAACCGTCCCAAGGAGATGTGTGGGATAACCACTAAATTTTAATAAATAATACCTCAAACTAAAGTTAGGATAATATAATTGACATTGCTGGATTCCTTGTAAGACCAGGAATATTTTGAATATAAATGTCATATATTTTGCACAAAAGATAACATAGTTACCTAGAGAAAAATTTTTATCTAAAAATTGTATGTTTAATGCAAAATATATGATGTTTATATTCAAAATGATCACCAAATTATAAGAATTCCAGCAATGTAAATTATATTCTGGCCGGGTAATTTGTATGAATTTTATGAGCTAAAACAAGCAGTCAGGCAGGGTGGCGGGTGGGGCAAATCTAAAAATAGCGTCTCGAGCCGGACACTCACCGCGTATATGTGGAAAAAATCCGTGTTAAGTGAAAGTTCAGCTCTGGCGAGGCACCGCGTATATGATAAAACGCGTTAAGTGAAACCGCGTTAGGCGGGGTAATACTGTACGGACTTACTGTATGCTGGTGTTCCCAATCGTCTCCCTTTATTTCTTTGCCATTAGTGGTTAGCTACTTCTATTGTTCCATTTATTAACATTAAATAATATTACTTAAAGCATACATATTCATTTTTTTAAATTAATTTTACTACAGCTACAACCAGGGTCTTATTTTCTTCAGTTTCTAATGTAGAACCATTGTCACGGGTGTAAACACTAAGGGAAACAATGCTGTCTCGTCTCCTCTTGTGCATTTTAATATTCTACATATTATTAGTAAATTGTATTGTTCATTTTGCATATATAAACATTAATTCAATCAAATACAAATTCAGTAATAAACAATAATGAATCTTTTGTGCATATTCTTAATGAGCTAAATACCGCTATGTTTCCTTGAGTGAGCA